CTGCTGAAACTGCACCAAATATTAAGCAATGTGATGAAACATGCGGGGATACTTGTGATAATTCTAGAATTTACATCTCAAATTTGCCAACAGATGTGACAATTGATGAATTGAGGGATCTTTTTGGTGGCATTGGACAGGTATAATTTTATTTTGTCTATTATTTTTTCATTTATTGAAAACATAATTTGCATAGGTTTGTAAATTCATACTTGTCTCATGTAATTTTTATTTCATTCTCTATCTTTTATTTTTAAGGTGTGTTGTATGCTTTGTCATTTTGGATGTTTTAATTAAGTAGTATTACTTGAATGAACAAATTCATTTTTAGATTGATTTTTATAATTCACGTTGCCAAATTTCTTCATATCATATGTTATCTGGTTGAGTGACATCTTCTAAGGCAAATAATAAACAATTTTCTATCTTGATGATGTTTATATAGCTGTGCAATGAACTTTGTTTCCATCTTCTTGATGTTTATGTATGTCCATTTACTTGTGGTATATATTCTTGCTTTTTTTAATTTATTTCACTTAATTTGTACCATTTTTCTTTTGATATAGTAGGAATGATTTCTCTTGAATAGTGTTGTTGCTTGTAATGTTACGTGGTTTCATTTTCCATGAAGTGAGCTTCTATTTTTGCAGATTATGTTGGAATCTTAATACACACTTATGCAGTACACACACACACACACACCATCTTCATCATCAACAACAAATAAACAAAAGAGGTTTCCACTAGATTTTTTTCTTGTGGGTAGCATGTCGATGTTAGAGTTGCCTCTAAGCACAACCCCAAACCAACTATTTGAGGTTGATTTTATGAATCCTTATTTGGGTCCACTGTGTGGTATATGAGTTATTAAAACCATCTTTTTTATTCTTTTTTTGAACAACTTCTTTCTATGTTATCTTTTGTCTACTCTTTTCCTACCTAATCATTCGATACTTAATTTTATCCATTAGTATAATAGTGCTTTTTTTATCCATCAATATATATCTCTATATAAACTAGTCCATTTTCAACCGTCTCATCTTGAATTGGTGCTACTCTAATTATTCATTTTGTGTAATCATTAATAAATCATTCTTTGTTTTATTTCATATCCATCTTTGTTTCTCATTTTCTCCACGCCCAGTTTAAATTTTAATGAAATTTTTATCATCCAAAACTCAGATCCGTATAACATAGTTAGTCTAACCATTCACCTTTGACTTTAGAAGCTCTGTCTTATGCTACTGCATTTGTTTAAAATTTTGAGACCACCGTTTGGGTCAAAACAAAATTTTGAGACCACGTTTTGGGTCAATAAATTTTCTACAATAACTTTTGAATTCAAATTTCATATAACCACACCCGAAACAATCACACCCTTAATCTATATCATTATTAGTTTGTATAATGGGAAAAAAAAAACTTAAACTTACTGCGCTCAATTAGTACTTCAACTTCTAAAGATTTTGGTTGTTAGCAGCTAATTTCAAAGCTGTTAAAAAGTCTAAAATGTCATATTATATAGTCTATATTTGCTCTATTAAAAGTAGTTCCTCTTGTCCTCTAAACATTTTCTTCGTTGTTTCAAACTTCCTCTTGTTTTGGTAGAGGCTTCACCTATTAGAATTATGTTTTCAAACATGCACCATGACATCTGACTTTGAATGCTTTTGGTAAGCATATTCATAAATAAATATAAAAATAGATTGACTTAAATTCATTTTTGATGTAATCTTAATCTAAACTTTTGGTCACTTTATAACAACTTGTATTAATTAACTATGGTCATATATGTCTTTGATAAATTCAATATTTCTTATGCACGAATAACTTGCTTGGTGTGCATCAAATCAGTCATCATGATATTCTTTAGGGGCCCAAACTTGACCCACTCTTTGAACGGGTCAAAAACGCAACCTAAACTCGACTCAACCAAAACTCACGAATGTTATAACATGGAAAACAAGTATGTTTTAATGGGTTGGTGTTAACCCTACCAAAATAAACATGATTGTATGATTTAAAGATGATAACTAAGAAAAATAAGCAAAAAATATCTGTATATGAGTTTTTCATTATAAAATCAAATAGTCAAGACATTTTTTTTAAATCGACCTTGGCCTAACTTCATACCACATGACTTGAATCTAATGACCCAAATGAACTCACATTTTATATAGGTTGTCCAGGATCTAGATTTTTTATTGTTAAATTTTAGCCACAATTTTGTTTTGGGATTTCGTGTTGGGTTCAAATTGACACTTTTATCCATCATGTACGTTTTTGTAGATTATATGAAGATTTTTTTCTATTTATAAATTTTAATTAGTTTGGTTTAAAAATTAATCTTATGGTGAATCTTTCTGTCATGAAAACAAATTGATTATTTAATATTGATTTATTTTTTCTAGTTGTCAGTTTTAATTACTATTTTTAATAATTTCATTTTATGATTCATAAGCTTCATTTTTCTATAATTATAATATTGAACATTTCCTTTATATTTAAATATTGGTATCATAATTATTCTCTAATACCTTGTGTGTCCTCTTTGTCATCAATATTATTTTAAAAGTTTTTTTTGCCAAACCACTAGTATCCCTATCTCTTGAATCTCAATAAATTTCTTATTTGGACGAGTAGGCTTAAAATATTATCCTTATGTGTCTATTATTTTGTTCATTATGCATATGTAAAATAGTTTATTTTTTAAATTTTTATTTATTAATTTGTAAACACTAATATTTCGATCTTTCATTTTTTAAATAAGACATTATTATCGTTATTTCTAATGCGTCATATCTAACAATTGCATTTATTTAATAATTTATTTTGTTAATATAATTTGTTATTATATATTTCATTTTTTTGTTCATCACACTAATTTTAAATAATAATTTCCTTGAAACCCCATCTAATAATTTCTTAGAGTAGCATCTCTATTTATGTTGATATTTTATCTCTAAATAAATTATTATTATCTTCATTTACATGAATATAGATTGATTGAGGTCTCAAAGAACTTTTTATCTCTTGACCTATTTATTTTATATTGTATCTTTTTATTGTTTCTTTTTACTGAGTTTTATTTAAATAATGAATAACTATATTTTTGGTTTTGCTCACTATTCTCTTTATAAATTTGTAATATTTTTTATAATAATTATAAACCTTGGAAGTATTTATTCTTGCTACTCTTTAAGTGCATTTCTTTTCCCTAGTAATATTTGACACCTCATGATTTTTTTGTTCATCATGCTAATTTTAAATACTAATTTTTTTGACTAATTTTTTTGAAACCCCATCCGATAACATCTCTATTTTATGTTGATGTTTTATCCTTAAATAAATTATTATTATAATAAATTATTATTATCTTCATTTACATGACCTTAAATTGATTATGATCTCAAAGAACTTTTTACTCGGGAACTCTTATCTCTTGGCATATTTATTTTTTATTATATCCTTTTATTCTTTTTTTAGCAAGTTTTATATAAATAATAAATAACTATAGTTTGGTTTTGCTCACCATCCCCATCATAAAATTTTTGATGTTTTTATAATAATTATAAGCCTTAGAAAATTTTTTTTTGCTACTCTTAAAAATGATTTTCTTTTCCCTAGTAATATTTAATACCTCATCATTCTACCTATAAGTGTTTCCGCTAATGTATCATCTGTTTCTATATTATTAGAAAATTCTATCATAATATTCTTGATGGAATTAGTCTTCTTATCTTTCCTTTATGACTCAACTTTTAAAGGAAGTTAAGTGCTTCTTTAGTTTTTTAACATTTGATTTTGTTATAGCATATCATGGCTATTGCGAAATACTTTTTTCACGGTGCTTTTCTATCTTTTTTTTTTCATACTCGCATGCATGCTCACGTAGATTAGATTTTTATAAACTGTCTGCCAATTTAAGTAGTTTTTTTTAAATATTATATCCTCTTCTCCTTTTAAGTAACCATTTATAAATATCATTTCTTCCTCAACTATGCATGAAAGAAAATATATTTGTTTGGATTGACTTTATTCTACTTTTAAGGTTGATTATTCTAAGCTATTGTAATGCATATAATCCCGCTTCTTGTGCAAAGGGCACACTAAATTATTCTAGAAGGAATATTTTAATTTATTTTTTAAAATTAAGAAGATTGAGCACTTATCCGCGACATAGTGGTTGAGGGTGATGTTTCCCACCATGAGGTCGTGGGTTCAAATCATGTATATTGCCTTTTGGGCTTAACTGTCCCGAAAAAAAAAGGAAATAAGGAGATTTTTAAGGGTTGTGATATTTATTTTGAGAATCAAACTTATAATTATTGCTAAAAAATAATGGGAGAGAGATCAACGGACTATGGACATTGAAAATGATACCATATAAGATACTCATTCTGTTTTATGTGAAGAAGATCAGGTATGTTAGTGTTTTAATATGCTTAGAATTAATGGAAAAATATAATTTTTGTATGAATATTTTTTAAGCATGAAGAACATGTGATCGAGTATCATGAGGGTTGGTTTGTTTGGCATGGTGGAGGAAATTTGTTTTTGAATTATGTTTAAGAATTAAATATATGCATAATAGATTGTTGAGTAGCATTATAATTAATTTTTGGGTTGGACTGTTAATCTCAAGTTTATATATATATATTATTAGTTATAGAAATGGTTATAAATGATATTCAAAAACAGCTACATTATATTATGGAGATGCATACTATTAGATGAAATATTTTTTAATAGGTGATACCAATGATTAAGTTTAAAACTTAGGGTAAAAATCTTTTTAGAAGATCTGGAGACTAGGATGAGTAGAGCAAAAGATAATTATATTTTTTTTAATTGTAATTGATTTGGGCTTGATATTAGTTGCTCTTGGTTTAATATGAATGTGAGACTTAGGTATGACGGATTTCCGCATCTTTGATTCACTATACTAAAGAAGTGGGAAATCAATCAGAATATTATTTCTAGAGTGTTTGTTCGGTAAAATAAAGATATATCTTGTGTAGTTTGTGATAATAGAAGATTATTAAGAATTAATGTCAATTTTATTTATTGACAATTAGATTGGGTGTGTTGTATTGGTTTGATTGTTGGGAAACAAAGAAATCATTGATGTCCATGTTGTTGCTGAAAAAAATTAGATTTGTTTGATAGATTTGCAATAAATTTTGGAGGGATGTATTGATGAGGTTTGGTAAGCAGTGTTTTTGAATACAAGGTGGTAAAAAAACCTTTGATGTCCTGTATAATGGAGATGTGGCATTGAAGGCATTTGAGAACCAAATTCTGCATTTCTTTATTTAGGTACATTGCAAATTTTATACGAGTTCAGTTTAACTGGGTTATTTGAAAGAGTGCCTTTTTCATTTTTATGTTTTAATTTCATAATCTCAGGTGGAGGCATTATATATCCAATACTGTTAGTATTATATTCACCATTTTTTTTGTAGGTTGGAAGGATCAAACAGAAACGTGGTTACAAAGATCAGTGGCCCTGGAACATAAAGATATATACTGATGAAGCTGGAAATAGTAAAGGAGATGCTTGTCTTTCCTATGAAGATCCTGCGGCAGCACATTCTGCTGGAGGCTTCTACAACAGTTAGCTCTAGCATTGTTTATTCTGCTTGTTATGTGTTTTTTTAAAGTTTTACACTCATGCCTTTTTTGTTATCTCAGACCATGTTTTAAGGGGCTACCCTATCAAAGTTGCGATGGCTGAAAAATCTGCGCCAAGACCTGCGCCTGCATATGGTCACGGGTACTTCTGTCATTTCAATCTCATCTTTATTCTCTTTCTACATTACCATGTTATTTAACTTTCGCATAGGAGTTTCTCATTGTGTAGTATGTCCTCAAAGCTTAATTATTCTACTGTGATTTTTTTAGATGTCAAGAGCTGAAGAGCACATGAAAAGCTAAGAACTATTTTCTTAGAAGTCTAATTAACTGCATTTGCTTTAATGTACTGAATTGTGCAGTTTCTCTCTTCATTCTAGACAAGATTTTGTGCAATGACATTAGAAATCTTCAGACCTTCCTGGTTTAGAATCCGGCCTTCTTACGGATATTTCCATTGAATTTGGCTTCTGCCCTATCTTTTCATGAAGTAAAAAAGCTTCTGGAATTAACTTTTTTATTTAGGGGCTGTTTGGTTGGATAATAAAAGAGCAGTATTTCATTCAAATATAGGGATTTTGAATATTTGAGCCTTTAGTTTGGAGAAAAATGAATTTAATGTAAAATAGTAACACATTTCAAATGTAGTGTTGGTTCATTTTCAGTGTACTCTAAACTTCCTAGATTTGGGCGAATTTGAAATAGAGTGCAAAGTGAGGCTATTGCGTGCCACCTTCCGGTTCCCCTCTCCTTAAACATAGGCCATTTGTTGCCGCTGCCCGCCGCAAGTTGTAGCCGCTCGTCACCACGATTGCGTCCTTATTTTATGTATGTTGTTTTTCTTCAATCCAAAAAAAAAAAAAAGTAAAATCATGCTTTCATTTTTCACCGAATCAAACAGTTCCAAAACATTCAAAATAAACATTACTTTTACATTGCATTCCTTTTCAACAAAAAAACAACCTCTTAAAGTAATAAGAGGTTGTTTAGTGGCTACTGAAATCTAATGGTTGAGTGCTACGATGGAGTAAAGTTACTTGCTATGTTGTGACTTTTGTTTGTTTAAGTTATTGCATAATGAAAACATTGTCTAAGGATATTGTGGAAATCGTGCATCCAATTCACAAAGCCTTCAATGTTGTGGGCATAAGTCCGATAATCAATGATGCACTTATGGAAGTCTCTGGTGGCATGCACTCTCGCTATTTAGGATCCATTTTTTAAGGGATTTATGGTGGCGAGCACCTTTCCAGCATATATAGATAATTGCTAGCAGGTTTTCTATCCAGAAATTTCTTCTGCATCTGTCAAAACTTAAACTCCCAACTACAGTGAAACCGCAGAATCCATTCATGGAAATCATGCAGGCTTGTGCTAATCAAGAATCCTGATCTTTCTAAATTTTTTTGTCCTCTTTTTTCATGGAGGTGAATAACATTATTGATTATTACTTTGAATTTTGTTTGTTATTTTTCTCTTTTTCCCTTTGATTAGTTTTATTTCTTTCTATTCTGAGGCCCTCCTATATATTTTGCACTTTTTGTCTGGAATAAGAAAATAAAATCTTTCATGTGTTTTAACATGTATTAGTATTGTTCTTCTTAGATTTCCAATTCCCCTCAGATTTATAGTTCGTCTAATTTCTTTGTTATCTATTTTAAAATTTTGCTGATCGCTAAAGGCTGCATGGCCATCGATAGAAGCTCCTTTTTTTAGGTCACTTTCAGCTGGGAATTGGTATCACATGACAGCAATTGTTATTAGGCACAAGTTGAATGGATAAAATTATCTTTAATGTGCTCATTCACTTTTATTGTTCCACAACAAAGATGCAAAGATGATTGTTTCACTGGTGTTGTTATTTCCCCACGGAAAGAAGATCTGAAATTTTATAATTTGGAGAGCTGAAAATAACATTGGTGATGTACTTGCTAGCTTATCAACACTAAAAAAATGAAACTGGACATAATTTTATGTTATATGAGATTGCAAAAGAAATTTTGGATGTCTTAAAAGATATTTACTTCGACAATGAAAATACTACATAACTAATTGAAATTAATGACATTCTTCATGATCTTCAATAAGGGGATATTTCAATCGTTCAATTCTACAAACCCCTTGCTCAGCATTGACAACAATTGGTTGTCTTTGAAGTACTAATTTGGGAGACCATGGGTGTGTGCAGCCATATACCAAAATTCTTGAGAGATATAGGATGCTCAATTTTTGTATTGGAATAATTAGTAACTTTGATCAAGTCAGAGGTAGGATATTTAGAATAAAAGTTGTTCTGTACGAGAAGTCTTTTTGGAAGACCATATGGAAGAAAGTGGAAGAAGAACATGATGGAAAATCAAAGCGCTTCAAACCACCTATAGATTTGATCTATTGCTTCTCAATTTATGAATTGTTTTAGTGATAACTTTATTAGAAAAAATCTTGACGTGACACTTGTAAATTTGGACACAAATGAAGTATGCCTGAAATTTGATGGGAATCCAGTTGATTAAGTTTGTTGTTTTCCTCTACCAATATTAATGATTATTAAAGCCGCATTCCTCCCTTTTCCTCCAAGGACGCATTGATATGTTGAGAAAAATGCATAGCCAACTTTTATCAAGTCCTACTGCACCTGAAATCAACACTAAATCAATTGTTCGAAAATGTATGCTATTGAATGCTTTTAATGCCACAAATGAAAAAAAAAAAACATAATTATGCTATAGATTTTGGAGCTTTAGATAACATTATAGGAAATGCTTCATTATTAAATACTCTTTTTTCTTGTTTAGAAAACCATAGTGCCAGGATAGCAGATGGTCAATAATTTACATCATTGTTTCTCTGTTTTTGAAATTGGTTACCTCGACTTCCACACTTGCAACATATCAACAATCAATAAAATTACTAAAGATATGGGCTGGGTTATGAAATTCTTGGATGTGATCTTAGGGAGGATGATTGAAAATGCTAAGGAAAAAAATTTTATCACCTTTTGGATTTTGCAAAACTTGGAATGCAAGTAAAACATGCTCAATATGTATCTTATTCTCATAATTAAAGTGGAATCATATGTGCCTCATTCGCTTTTGTCATTTTAGCTTCTTGTATCTTGAAAACTTAATTTTTACTTATTTATTGATAAAAATCCTGAAAATCTTCAGTGTGAGACATGCCAATTATCTAAAAACGTAAAATATTATCTTATTCATATAAAACCTCACGACAATTTTTGCAAATCATGGTGTTATTTTTGGTTCAACCCGGATGAATAATTTCTCTTGTGCTACTTGGCTTTTACCGTTAGTTGATAAGATGCTTAAGCAACTTGAATATTTCTAATGAAAGAAAAACTTGTTTTAAAAAAAATCCTCTTCTACAAACTTAATTTGAAACCCAAAATGAAATTGACAATGAAATTAACAATGTACATTAATGTCCTTATAATATTGGAAGTTGCTTGATCAAGTATGTTCATGATCAATATTTCATAACTTTATTGTGGCAGGGTTTCCCATATTGCTGCATTTTTCATAAATCATTTTTGAAATTCAGAACTAATCAAATCCTCACTTGGGCTTAGGCCCTGTTTGAGAGAGCTCTGCCTTTCATAAAAGCTCTTTTGAAAGAAACTTCAACATAAATGACGATATAAAATTCCAATTATTAAAACTGACAATCCGTTTGAATTACTTTTTTTTATTTCATTAATCCTAGCTTTTAGAATATAAAATACTAAAATGCCCCTTTCTAACATATGCAAATAAAAATAACTTCGATTTCCCTTGACCTTCTTTTACCAATCCTCCAAACTTCTCCCCAGTGCCTTGAGAACTTAACTTGCCGACGCTGTTGTCGCCACCTCTCAATTCCCTCTCCCGCCCTCTCTGAAGCCTGCTCTTGCGGACGGATTCTGACGAGGTCGCTTCCAAGTTGTGATTTCCCGGAACCCGTCCACAGAGCATTCGACAGGGGCGAGGGCGAGGGCCATTTTGGACAATTTGACTTGAGAAAGAGTGGAACGGTGGGCCAATGTCACGATATGAAACAAAGATAAAATGACGTTCCATTCAACGGACTTCCGACGACGTCGTCGTACCAAACAGCGACCATACATTTTATCGGTGTTCTCTGGACCGAAACGGAGGTTTACCGCATTATCAAACGAGGCCTTATTCCTTAAATAGGCTTTATCACTATACCCTTCAAGGTTTTCATTTTCTTTGCTGTTATGCATATTTCTCCATATAAAATAAGCAAACTTTATCCCACACTTTTACAATGCATTTTTTTGGGTACTCATCAAACCAATAAGGATGCAAATATTATTCTCGCAACATTTTAAAAAAAAAAATGTGACATTTCTATATGTGTAAGCATTTGGAAAACAACTTTTTTGCCTCAAAACTCACGTTTAGAGGGGTGATTCAATTCATTTCATGAATGTGAGTTTTACAATAATATTTGCCTTATTGTATTTTAGTATGCATATCTTCCAAACCTTGTCCTTCAATCTCATTATTTCCAACTTCTTGAAAGCTCCAAAGATCACTTGCAATGAGCAGGTTTCAACGAGACTGTCTACTTTAGGTGTTAGGAAAATTAAACCAATAAGATTGATTAAAACAATTATCATAAACTAAATATAATGTTTTTCCCCTCTTATGAATCCTCTTCACATGGTAGTAATGATTTAGACGACGATCTAATACTCCTATTGTTTCTAGAAAAGGAGTAAGGAGTTGCACTAAACACCCAATTTTTTATTATATTACTTGTGAAAAATTTTTCCCAAGTATCATGCCTTTAATAAAAATTTTCTAGCTTGTAAATTCAAAATAACATCTAAGACAACAACAACAACAAGCCTTTATCCCACTAAGTGGGATCAACTACATGAATCCTTTTTTTCTCTATTGCTTCTTATTGAATGTCATCTTTACATTTATTTCTCATATATTAAGATCATTGTTTATGCAATATGCCCAAATTTTTTTAGGTCTACCTCCGCCTTTCTTAACATAAGTTGAATTTAAAATATCTATTTTCATAACCAGATCATCAGATGGTCGACATTTAATTTGACTAAGCCATCTAAGACGACTCTCTTTAATCTTGTCCGCCATTGGAGCTACTCCA